TTATTATTATATATATATATTAGTTAGTAGAGAGAGAGAGAGAGAGAGAGAGAGGGATGGTATTAGAGAGGAGAGTATATATACGTATTTTCGTCCACGGATGTGAACGTTACAGGTTTAAATCGATTCGTGCGAGCGTACCGATTTAATTATTCCCAGATCGCGGCATTTACTACATTATAACAGCGCCGATCGTGCGCCATTGTGTGTGCACAAAGCGGTACAGTTATCGGGAATTATTACTCGATCTACTATTTGAACGATGCTTGTTGTTCCGTCTTGCGCGTTGTTTACTGCATCGTAATTCTCCGCGAGGGAATAAATTATGCATAGTTGTACGAATGCAAACAGTTTTTTTTTTTTTCCTTCCTTTTTGCATGCAAATTAATTCTTTTTTTTTTTTTCATTCCTTTTAATAAATTCGAAATCAATATTCCGGATAAATATATATCCGGTTTTTTCTCTCGTCTTTCTTCGATCTTCGCGTCTCGAATTTTGCGGATAGATTTTTCTCTCTCTAATAATAAGTTGTGATTCGATTCGACTCGATAAAGTTTTAATCTTTTTTTCTTTTTTTTCTTTTCTCTCTCTCTCTCTCGTTTCGAGTATTTTTTAAAATTAGAGTCGAATCGACGACGATATATTTCTTCTTTATATCTTCCTTTTTCCACGCGAAAATGATATAATCGCGAAAGAAAGTTGTAACGAAGGGAAATGTTTAACGGGGGGGGGAATAGGATACGAATTACCGCGGAGGATCGTGCAGTAAAAAGCGATCATTATCCATCCGACGTTAGTTAATCATTATAGTTACTGCGACCTCGGTCACGGTATGGTTAGTTAACTAAAGTTGCGTAATTTATTGCCAGCCGAATTTTGGTTGCATTATATGGTCCATTAGCATGGATAACAGGGAACTATTTGACGTACACGGAAATTCCGACGCGCTGGCCCGCGCTCGAATGCAAATTGATAATCACAATTACGAAGTTTATACTAATAACGATTTAATTGCGATACACAAGCCACGATCTACTTTCTACAGCCGCGATTATTATTTTTCCTTGCTGCCCCGGTTGCGAGCCGATCGGGGCCGATTACACGAAATCGTTTTTTTTTTAAACTCGCGTGGAACAAATCTCACGAATAACGAATGTTATCACGAATGCGTCGACGGAATTCAATGCGGCAACAATATTTTGCGAATATTAAAAAAATATTTAAACCATATCGATATTTATCTAATTTTGTATTAGTAACAAGGATTTACTCTATTTCATCTATCTCACTTTATCATAATTCCATCGCGAGAGAGAAATAATTTCTTCTTCTTCTTTGTGCGAAAATTTTATTATCGATCGTCGAAATTTATTTTCAACCATCTTGAGAATGTTTAAAGGATGGAACGAAATTTTGAAAAATTATATTTCGTTTCGTACAATTTTTCGAAGATTCGAAATTTTTAATTCGTAATATATATATATATTCGATAACTTTAGATCTTTTTCTCAAGAGGTATTTTTTTTTTCTTTTTTTTTCGTTGCAGAATTACGTTAAATATGATTAATGAGCAACTGATTATGTAGGACACATCGTGTTGTTAATCCGAGCTAATTGATGCGAAGCAAACGCGAGCAGCAGGCGGCGCGTGTTTATCGAAAAGTCGATGCATGTGTTTAGCGGTAATTACGCATTGTTAGGCGGATACGAAATTGCATAGGTTCTCCTCCAATTGCAATTAAACCCTTGCATTAGCTACGTGATGCGATGAAAATTTTAAGCGTTCATCCAGTTTATAATAAGTAGCTAACTTTCCATTTTATCGGATATAACTTTCCCCAACGCCGCCATGCCCATTCGTCCACCTCCGTTTCCAAAAATCGCGAATATTTCGAAATCTTCCTTCAGAATTAGATGGAAATACATATTTCTCTCACGTTTATCATTTATCCTTGGTTTCCATTGAAAAAGGGAAAGGGTGTCTATTCGTCCTTCGAGTTTTAGGGAAAAAAAAAAAAATGAAGAATAATTTTTCTTAATTTTTCTCTATTCTTTCGATTTTATTAGAAATCGAAAGAATAATCCCTTTCTACTTTTTAAAGGAGTGTACATGTGCGTGTATATATATATATATATATATATGTATATATGTAAATATACAATGGCTTACCGGCGGGTGATGTAACAGAAACCGATTGGCCGGTGCATTGCTGATTGGAATTCTGATTTCCATTGCTTCCCGCGCCGGTGTTCAATTTCCTCAATTGTTTCTTATGCTTCATCCGCCTGTTCTGAAACCACGTTTTCACTTGGGTCTCGGAGAGGTGAAGAGCCGCCGCAAGCTCGACCCTTTCCGGCGTGCTCAGGTACCTCTGCACCTCGAATCTAGCTTCCAAACCCGCTAATTGTTGGTCGCTGAACACCTAAATACGATGCAAACAATAATATCCATCCCTTCCTTATCGCCGATTAACATTCGAACGAACAACAGTTTACAAATTTTTTATCAATAAAAAATTAGTCAGAAACGATAAAATGGAAAATTCTTTTACGCGACAAAATTAACAAAATATACGTACGATTAAAATTACAGTTAATCCCGTAACATTTTACAATGACTTTCAAAAAATTTCACTCACTGTTCTTGCCTTTCGTCGGCGGCAGTGCTTCAAGGCCGCGAGTTCGGTAACTCCCGGCACCACTCCAACCCCCATCGCGGTGTTACCGAAAAGCGGCCCCAGGAAGAAAGTGGCCGTGGGTGGTGCGGAAGGGTAACCGGGCAGCAAACTGGCGAATTGCTGGTACTGTTGATGCTGCACCCCGTGGGCGGACGTGAGGTGTTGGTGGTGAAGCTGGTGATGGGAATGCGGGGGTGCCGTGCCACGGCTCAAAATGTCCTCGATCAGAAACGAGGTTCTGCTCGCCGATGTCCCGTTCTGACCTGGCTGGGCCTGTTGTTGCTGGCAAGTCGACTGCATCTTTTTCTCTTATCAAAAATATATTATCTTCGATCCTTTCTGATTGCACCCTTACATAGCTCACGTAGACACGACCGATTCTCTTTCGAACCCTCGACTCTCTCTCTCTCTCTCTCTCTCCTTCGTTCGATTCTCGACTCTCTTTCTTCAAAATCTCTCACACGGCAACACCGTCAATCAAATTACCTCTTCCAATTATAGCTTAGCTCATCTTCGTCGAGTCGAGAAGCATTTGGTAAACGCGCGTTCTCGAAAAATTCCACGAGTTTCCTTCGATCACACTCTACACAATATATCTTCTATATGAATCACCACGTCGAAACAACCACCGATCAATTCTCTTCTCTCTCTCTCTCTTTCCATCCAGTTCCATCCGATCCGCGAGAAAGATGAGAGAGAGAGCGCTCTCGCCATCCAATCTTCACGAAATATCTTCACGAATTGCAACACCGCGATGGAAAGTGAGGCGGGGGGAAGAAAAAAAAAGACGCGCACAAACACACACACACACACCTTGACAAAAAAGAAGCCTGCTCCTCGTCCACAACATCCGCGCGACACAACAACTCTTCTTCACCTCGCCTCACTTCCTTCCGACGAGCCCGCGCGGAGATCTCGGAGATCGATCTTTCGACCCCCTTTCTCCCCACCTCTTTTCACCTTCACCGAAATTTCGAAAATCACAAATATTCGAAGAACACCGGTCGTCGCACGAGGAAGAAAGGTCTCCCTCCGCCTCGTCCCCCTTTCTCCGTATTTTGGCGGCTCCTCCTGGGCCGAGGAGGTGGTTGGCGAGGGGGGTAGGAAAAAGGAAGAGAAGGAGGAAGAAGAAGAGAAGGAGAGAGGAAATTGTAATCGAATCGAGAAAAGGGGTATCCGGCAATCTGCGGGAAAAGAAAAGTGGCTCGCGGAGGATAGATACGATGGGTAGGCAGGATAGGAGGCACGGAGCGTCGCCTCGTCACGACGTGGACGTTTAGGGAGTATCGGTGCGCGATTCAAGGCGATTCAACTTCCCTCACCCCCACCCACCCTTCCCTCCGCGATCATCTCCACCCTCAGCCGCTCTAACTGGCCAAGATAAGTAAAGCTCGGAAGCGGATATCGCGAGGGGGGGAGGGGGGAAGGCGAGATCCAGGCATTGGTCGGCGTCGCGGCGCCGGCCGTCGCCGCGGTTGGCCCCGCGTCCACGGCGGGGCGGTGCCAACCGCGCCGTTTCCATGGACACGTCGCTTCCTCTCCTAGGCGAGCGCCGCTCTATCTCTCACCCTTGCAACCCCGGAGCAACCCCGGATCTGAAAGGGAAAGGGTGGAGGGTCGAGGAGAAAGAGGAGGTGGAGGAGGAGGAGGAGGAGGAAGGTGAGGCGCGCTCTCTCTCTCTCTCTCTGTATTCGTGGTTCCCCCCATGTCGTTGTGCATTCACATCGACTGCGCGATGACGATGTTCACGCGTGCACCTTTGAGGTAGCTTTGCCCACCGCTTAAATTGTATTTCTTTCGCCTTTATCTTTGACTTTTTCTCTTTTCTTCTTCTTCTTCTTCTTTCTTCGTCTTCCTCGTTCCTCGGCCACTTCCTTTTTCTTTTTAATGTTTGATCGTCTCGATTTACGGGTGAGGGAGGGAGGGAGGTGGGGGAGGGGGGTTCCGAGAAGATTGAAATTGATGCAAGATATCAACAACACTTCTCTTTATTCGAGAGAATTTCCATTTTGGGAAATTTAATAATTGCATTTCGAATGAAATACGGGGAAATGGAAATATACGATATATGGTTGATTTGGTATTTTATGAATCGGGCGAACGAAGAGATGCGATATCGAACGATTTCCAACGTTTTTTCTCTCTCTCTCTCTCTCTCTCTCTCTCTCTCTCTCTCTCTCTCTCTCTCTCT